GGGCAGAATTTACCCACTATTTCTTTCTTCCCACTGGTTGAAGATTTGCCCCTTGGGGCACTTACTCTGTATGTCTGGGTTGCATATATGAATGCTGGGGCACCAAACTGGGGTCCATGGTGGGTGGTGGAGGTGAGGAGCACAGGCGTGGGCTGGGGCTGTGGTGTGGATAGGTTGTGTTCACCACAAATCACCCAGCCCAGGCGGGGCTGAAGCAACAGGCAGGGGAGGCCAGGAGGGTCTGAAGTGGGGCAGAAGGTTTACGTAGAAAAGTCTACCCCTCAAATCACTCAGAGCTACGCTTGCCTTCCCTCCCTTCTTGCCTGGGAGGGGAGGTCTAAGTCTGACCTAACAGAGCCCTACGAGGCGGTAGCCAGCACAGTCTCTGCCTCGGGGGACTAGTGGCGCAAGCTACAGGCCCTGCTGGTATAGCTGGTCCCTCGTCCAGCCCCATTCTAGATTGCCCTTTCCTCGTCTGTGCCTCAGCTGCTCTGGTTCCTGGTGGGGTGATCCAGACTTCATCCCAGGGAACCCTAGCCCTTGGCTGTCTGGTCCTGCTTGGGCCATGATTGCCATGACTGCCACTTGCTGTTACCAGTGGGTGTGGAGACACCAAGAGACAGACACCGAGGGGGTTCCCGACACTCCCCTGTCCCATCGCGTAACCTCAGCCCTGGCTCCTCACGGGGACCAGAATCTTGACCCCCAGCAGCACAGCGACTCTGCCCGCTGGTCCGCCAGCAGGACAGGCCCAGCCATCGGGGGATGGCCACATCTTCAAGTTCGATGGGACCCTATTGTGTCCCTCGGCAGAAGCTTTCTGCCCCCAGGCACAGGAAATATGAACTCCAGAAGTGGGTCACTGGAGTGATGGAGGGAGGGGCCTCTACTTAGACCCTCTGCTTCCTGTCCCCCAGTATTCTAGCCACAGGGGACACGGTGGCCTTTCTCAGCTGCTTGGAGAGCAGAGCTGTGAAGTATGGTCCCTGAGCTTGGTCCTTCCAAGCTATGCCATTCGGATGTTGAGGTTCCTGGAAAGGTCAGTGGATCCTTTGGTCAGATGCCCATTGTTCCACATTTTGCCAAAAAACAGGTCCCTTGGTGTGAGGCGACGTGTGTATACCATGTCACTACATCAGGGAATCTAAAGCCCCTCAGATGGTGGTGGGGGTGAGCCCCCCCCCAGCAGGGTGGTCAGGGGGGACCATATGTGGATTGGCATTAATCTCAGTAAATACAAATTGCCCCCCTCCAGGGTGGACAGAGGACGGATGCAATCCACCTGCTACCAATGGCTGGCTGGTCCCTTGGAGGTAGCGTATGGAGGGCTCAGCTTTGGTCCTGCTTCAGCAGACCAGGCGTTCAGGACCTCCCCGAGCCTTTGGGAGAGGAGCCCGCCCGGGCCACTTCACCCCTGTCGTCATGACTGCTCTGTCTGTCCTTGGGCCCTGTGTACCCGCACTAGGGTGGCTGCAGAGAGAGGCTGGCTGACGTCTACCAGCACGTCACCCATTCCAGATGTTTGTTGACCGTCTCCCCTGCCTTGGACATTCTCTGATGGGTGGATTTGAAACGTGAGACACAGATTTCATCTGTTGTGCCCGGCCTGGTGCTCACTGGCTCACCTTCTTAACCCCTCCCCAGTTCTCCGGGTACCCCATCTTCCAAACTTTAACCCCCTAAGCTCCTGGCCACCAGCCAAATCACCTGCCACCACCCAGGGCTTTGTGTGTGTCTGTCCCTCAGGCCGTTCATCCCTCTTTATGCATGGGTGACCAAGTGTGCAGTGCACAGCTGTGTCCACTGGGAGGATTGGCCTTCGTCTTTGTCCTCAGGGCCACTCCTGAGAGGGTGTGGGGGCACGGGAGTGACAGCTGTCCATTCCAGCTAGGGCAAACACACTGTGCCCAATGAGGCCAAGTTCTTATTTGTTTCTTTTACACGCTTCACATCATTTTTTAGAAAAGATTGATTGATTGATTGATTTGATACAGCACGCGTGAGCAAGCACAAGCTGGGGGAACGGCGGGCAGAGGGAGAGGAAGAAGGAGGCTCCCCGAGGAGCAGGGAGCCCGATGTGGGGCTTGATCCCAGGACTTTGGGATCATGACCAAAGGCAGACGTTTAACCAATTCACATTTTTATTTTTATTTATTTATTTATTTATTTTTAAAAAGATTTTATTTATTTTTTGACAGACAGCGAGAGAGGGAACACAAGCAGGGGGAGAGGGAGAGGGAGAAGCAGGCTTCCTGCAGAGCAGGGAGCCTGATGTGGGACTCGATCCCAGGACCCTGAGGATCATGACCTGAGCCGAAGGCAGACGCTTAACGACTAAGCCACCCTGGCGCCCCACCAATTCACATTTTTAAACAGCTTTATCGAGATTTTATTTATGTGTTTATTTTTTTAAGATTTTATTTATTTATTTGAGAGAGAGAGAGTGAGAGACAGCACGAAGGGGAAGAGGGTCAGAGGGAGAAGCAGACTCCCCGCCGAGCAGGGAGCCCGATGTGGGACTCGATCCCAGGACTCCAGGATCATGACCTGAGCAGAAGGCATTCGCTTAACCAACTGAGCCACCCAGGCGCCCAGTTGTTTATTTATTTTAAAGTAAGCTCTATGACCAATACAGGACTTGAACTCATAACCGCGAGATCAAGAGTCACATGCTCTACTGACCGAGCCAGCCAGGCGTCCCTTATTGAGATATAATTTATATACAATAAACTGCATGTTTAAAGTGTACGTTAATTTAAAAAATGCACCATGAGACCATCACCACAACCAAGACAGTGGACATAGCCATCACCCCCAAGGTTCCCTCATGCCCAGTTATCATGCCTTCTTCCACCCCCTTTCCTAGCAACCACTGATCTATCACTACAGATCTGTTTACATTTTCTAAAGTTTTATACAAATGGAAGATACAGTACATACTCTTTCTTTTCCATGCAACATAATTATCTTGAGATGTATCCATATTGTGCATATCAATAGTTTATTCTTTTTTATTGCCGAGTAGTATCCATTGTATGGCTATACCACGATTTGTTTATCCATTTATCTGTTGACCTATGTTTGGCTACAACTGCCATGAACATTCATATGCAAATCTTTGTATGGACAATTTTCCCCCCTTGGATAAATGCCTAGGAGTAAAATGACTGGCTTGTATAGTTGGTATGAACTTATAAAAAAAAAAAACAAAACCCACACAGCTTTATTGAGGTGTAATTTACACACCGTAAAATTCGCTCATTCTAAGTGTACAATTAAATCATTTTAGCAAGTTTACAAAGTTGTGCAGCCTCGACCACAATCCAATTTTAGCGCGTGTCCAGCACCCCAAAATGAGCCCTCTTGCTCTCCCTTTCTCTCTCCTTTTTTCCCTTCCTTCCATCCTCCCTCACTCCTATCCTTTCTTTTCTTCCTGTTAATTGGCTGAATTACACTGCTTGGTTTTAAAATGTTCTGGTCAAGTCACTTCATCTTGTACAACCCCGTTTTTGGTTTTCTCTGTAAAATGGAGCTGGCACGCTCCCCATACAAATTGGATTACAGGTATCTGTGTTCGTGCTTAACCCACTGCCTCTCCCTCAGGCAGGGACCCGTCTTCCTTCTCTGCCTCCCAGTGCCTACCACTGTGCTTCTTGGTACAAAGTAGGCACGACATGATACAGGAAAGAAAGTATTAAAGAATGAGTCTCCAGCCGCCGACTATCGCACTCCCGCCCGGCCTCCCACAGCGGAATTCCGCGGCTGAAGAGCCGCTTTAGGTCCGGACTGAAACTGCCGCCGCCTAACCCGGCGTGGCCCGCGGCCCCGTCCTGACCAATCGGAGCTCGCCCTCCGGGGCACGCCCCCATTCCTGTAATCGACGACCAGTACGCGGTCTCGGAAGTTGACCAATCAGCTCCTGAGCCCCGCTGTTAGGCCCGCCCCAATGTTGAAACTGCCGCTTCTGAACGCGGAGTAACGTTCGCAGGGGCGTCCGGCTCCGTCCGCAATCTGACCAATCAGGGCGGCCGGGTCGGGCCCCGCCCACAGCCGGCGAAGCAAAGGGTGGCCGGGCGGAACTCCGGGCTGCGAGAGCCTCCCTGGGGCGGCGGGCTTCCAGGCTTCCAGGCTTCCAGGCGGTGAGTGCGGGAGCGGCGGGGCTGGCGTGGGGAGGAAGGACTCGGCCCCTGGTGTGGGCGGTCCACAGGTGACCAGTGTGGGTGAGGCGGGCGGGGGGCCGGGCCGGCATTCTGAGAGGAGGGTCTGGCCTGACCCGGCGTTAAAACCCGCCCGGTGCACAGTGATGGAGACTGAGTTTCTGGATGGAGCCTGGGCCTGGATCCCAGAGGCGATTAGGAAGCCCCTTCCCCAGCCCGCAGAAATCCTTTCTAGAGGCATCTGTGTGTCTTTGAGCCTGGGTCCCTGGGGGCAAAAGGCTGAGAGAGGAGGAGGAAGGAGAAGGCGTCCCAGGCACCTCTCTGCTGCAAGAGGTCCTGGAGCCAGATTCCGGTTTAAAATCCTGGCTTTGTCACTTACTAGCGTTGTAACGTGGGGCAAGTTGGTTTAACTCCTCTGAACTTTGGTTTCCTGATTTGTAAAAAGAAAGGGAAGATGGAAGGGTGGGCAAGACAGAGGGAAGCCACCTTTCAGAAGCCTGATCTGTGTTGGATTCACAATTTATAATACTTTACATTTGTAGACTTGCTCTAATTGTTTTCTACAAATTAAACTAATTTCATAGTTAAGATTGTTAAAGGGGGATTGTTCCCTTTTGGGCAGCTAAGTAAACACACTCTGGCCAGTTTAATAATAGACATTTGTTGAGTGCTCACTGTATACCAGGCGCCATACTAAGGCTTAACATGCATTACCTCGTTTATTCCCTACAGTAATTTGAGGAGGTCTGTTATCATTTCTCTTTGGCAGATGAGGAAACTGAGGCACAGAGCAATTAAATAACTTGCTTGAGACCGCACAGTTAGGGAGTAGTAGAGTGGGGATTCAAACCCAGGCCTCTGGCTCCACAGGGCAGCCTCCTTGGCTGGTGTCATGCTGTCTTCGCTTTAGGTAGAAGAGCTGGGACTGGAACCCAGCCCGAGGGTACACCACAGCCCAGGAGGAAGCCACGCCATATGCCTGGGATGGTGGAGACCAAGGACTTGGTGCATCTCCGGCAGCTCAACTTGGCACTCCTGAGGCAGCTGTGGGTCGGGCAGGATGCCGTTCGGCGGTCAGTGGCCAAAGCAGCCTCAAAGGTGAGCACCCACCTTGAGAACTTGCAAGGGGGGCATGAAGGGGCTCCCTAACCAGGCAGGTCCCAGGCCTCCTGTGCAACATGCCCAGTTTAGAGAAAACTGAGGCCCAGCAAAGAAGGGACTGACTGGCCTGGGACACTGCAGAGGCCGGAGCAGGGATGAGGATTGAGGAACCAGGCCTTTGTGCCTAGTGCAGGCCAGCGGGGTGGGTAGCTGGGCCACTCCCTGGGTGACCTGGCCTCTCTGTTCCAGTCAGCCCTGGAGTCCAGCAGCAGCTATGACTCCCAGACACCGTCGTCCCAGGAGACGTTGTTAATGGCCCTCAGAGCCTCCGGCCTACACCCTGCGCACCAGGGTGATCCCTGTGATATGTCTGGGCCTGGTGGGACCAGCTCTGGAGTGATCTCTCTCCCTTCTGCCAAGTACCGACACCAGGCGTCCCTGGGCTCACTGAGGCCCTACCCGGCACCCTTGCTGGCCATCTCAGATCCAAATGACCCAGCGCTTTCAGCCGAGCTGGACAGTCCAGGGCCTCAGGAGGTCCAGGCCCAGAGCTCCACCCTGGATCAACAAAAGTGGCTGTCCAAGGTAACATGGGAGAATAGAACTTCCTTGAACTTCAGTCTCCCTGTCTCACAAATGCATTCATCGGCAGGCTCCCTTCAGGGTGGGAGGCTTCCTGGAGATACCTTGAGTCATGCCCAGCTCAGCTGAAGTGCTTAAAAAGTGGTGGTTGTTAGTTTCTCGGCATTTTGGGAAGAAGGTGATGAGCCCATTATACAGATGGGAAGACCAAGGCTCAGAGGCCATGCTTGTTCAAAGTTACACATAGAGGGGGATCGGGGGCCAAACTCTTCCAACTCCCAAGCCCCCGGCGGAGTCCTGGGGCTCATGTCAGGGTATAAGTTAAGACATGGCCCCTTTCCTTCCCGCAAGGTGGGGCCTCCTCTGGGCTGGGCCTGCATGCCTAGCCCTTGCCCCTCTCTGTCCCCCTCCTCAGTCAAGAGTGACCCTCAGTGAGGAGTCTGCATTGCCGGACAGGAGCGGGCACTTCCGGCCATACTTGGGCTACGATTGGATTGCAGGTATGGCCCGCCTCCGCATGCCTGCCTGAGCCCTACCGGTGCTGAATGAATGAATCAGAGCTGCCATATTCTTTTTTTTTTTTTTTTTATTAGAGAGAGCGAGCGAGCACGAGGGGAGGGAGGGGCAGAGGGAGGAGAAACAGATTCTCCACTGAGCAGGGAGCCGGACATGGGGCTCCATCCCAGGACCCTGGGATCATGACCTGAGCCGAACACAGACGCCCAACCGACTGAGCCACCCAGGCGCCCCAGAGCCGCCATATTCTTTAGCATGTATTGGTGCCAGGCCCCTGCAAAACTCTGTGTGCATATCGTCTCTTTACATCGTACTGCCTATCCCCCTAACCCCCCACCCCCAGCAACTTCAGTGGCCTGGCTGGTCTCCCTCTGGCTTCGTCCACCCCATTACTATCCATTTTTGATTGGCAGCCAGAATGGATTTTTTAAACCTGGGAATCAGAGTACTTAGCACTTAGAATAAAATACAAAATCCTTATCTAGACTTACGAGGTAAGACCTGGCCCCAGGTAGCTCTGTGACGTGACCTCTCACTACCAGCCTCTGGCTCTTTGCTCCAGCCTCATGGACCTCCTTGCTGGTCCTTGACCGTGCCACGCTCATGGCAGCCTCAGGGCCTCTGCACTTGCTGTCCTTGCTGCCTGGAATGCACTTCCTCAGGTTCACACCCTCTGGGTGCTTTTTATCATTGAGGGCCCAGCTCAGGGGCTAGGCCTTCTGTGAGCATAACGTCATAGGGCCCCTGCCCCCCACATCCCTGCCTGTGGCATCAGTCATTTGTATGTTCTTCATATCATTCGTTCTCAAGAATCGTCCTGTTTCCTTGTTTCTTAGCTGAGTTCTCCAGTAGAATGTAAGCTTCATTCAAGCAGGGCCATAGCCATTTTCTTGCTCTATCTCCCGAGCCTGAGCTTAGAGGTGTGTGACGCATAGTTAGGCCCTCACACAACACTTGTCAAATGAGTGAGTGAGCAGCCATAAGAGGTTGCTGCCGTTTGGCTCCCCATTTCATAAAGGGGGAAACTGAGGCACAGAGAGGTTGAATTACTTCCTAAAGGCAGGTGCTCCAGGGGGTTGCTGAGATCCAGCGGTGGTGGGGACACAGGCCCTGTCCCCAGCATTTCCCGGCCTGTCAGCTCACTGCCTTGCTTCCCGTTTCTGGAAAATGGAGGCGCCTGCCTCCTGCCCGCCCTGTCCCTGTGCTCGCTCTCCTTCCCGAGGGTGAACGAGCGCCCCCATCTCAGGCCTGTCCCTGTATTTGTGTGCTCTGCCTCATCCCCTCTGGGCTCCCGGAGGATTTGCTTCCTGCGAGTCTCTCCTGCCTCCTCGTTCAGTCCCATCAGCATGTGAACACTGGGAAGGGTGAGGAGAATAGGTTTTAGGGAGCACCTGTTACAGGTGTTCTTGTGAGCTTCCCTTGGCTTTACTCCTCTTATGTCCTCTGCCCTTCACGATGATCTGTTAGGGCCGGTGCTGCTCTCGTCCCCTGTCCCCGTGGACAGATGAGAAGGCTGAGCTGCTGGCCCTGAGGCACTTCACGAAGTCTCCCATCTGCTCAGCGGTAGAGCTGCAACGTGTTATTTTCTACCCTGATGAAATTTTTCTCTTTTATTTTATTTTATTTTATTTTAAGATTTTATTTATTTGAGAGAGAGCACGAGCAAGAGAGGAAAAGCAGGGGGAGGGGCAGAGGGAGAGGGAGAAGCAGACTCCCCGCTGAGCAGGGAGCCCGACACGGGACTCGATCCCAGGACCCCGGGATCATGACCTGAGCCGAAGGCAGACGCTTCACCGACTGAGCCTCCCAGGCACCCCCTTGCCACCATATTTGTAAGGCTCATGAAGGCAGGGCTTTGTCTAGTTCCCTCCTCTCTCCCTGGCACATCAAACTGCGGCCCCTAGGAGGGGCTCTGTGAGTATTTTTTGTTTTAATGTTTTTTGCACGGATGAAAGGCTGTGCGTGAGGGTAGACACACACGGAGACGGGACCAGCAGTCACAGTGAGTGACGCGTGCCCTCCAGGTCTGTACGAGGCAGAGTGGGGGCAAAGCAGGTAGACTGGAGTGCTGTGCTGAGTGCCCCCTAAGGCTCAGCCGGCGGCCACACAGCAGCTGCTGGTGCTTTGCCCACTCCAGGGTCTCTGGACAACAGCTCACCCATCACCAGCAAGCCTGAGGCCTTCTTTTCGAAGCTACAGGATTTCCGGGAAGCCAACAAGGAGGAGTGTATCAACAGTGACCCTGAGTGAGCAGGGGTGGCCAACGGGTGGGCAGAGCGGCTCAGGGACCCCGTTGCCCAGCCTGCTCACCCCTATCCCCTCACAGACCCCAGTTCCTAGGCCCGTGGGAGAGCAGTGGTGTGGAGGAAGACCATGAATGTGAGTGGAAGTTCTCAGCAGGTGCCCCATAGCCTCGCCGAGCGAGGTCTCGGGGGCCTAGGGAGGCAGCTGGGGTGGTGGGGACTCAGGGAGGGGGAGCCTAGGGTCCAGACAGGGTGGGGCAAGCCTTGGGTGGGGGCTGGGGAGTGGCGGGGAGCTGAGGCCAAGCCTGTGGCACCCCCCTCCCCCCTCCCCAGCCGCCACCTTTCCTGTGCACCCCCACTTCTGCTGCTCTGTGCTCGGGGAGGGGGGTGGGGGCGCTGGCTCAGTCGCACGAGCACCCGAGCCTTTGCTTTGGGTTCCCATCCGCAGCAGACGATGCACACACGTGTGTACGTCACGTCGGGTTCGTGTTCTGTGTGTGTACACCTGTGCGTGTGGCCGTGGGGGAGGTGGGGTTGGCGGACCCGTGCGGTGGGGGCAGCAGGGGGATCAGGCATCTGGGGGTCCAGCTGAGAGGAGCTGCTGCTTCTCCCGGCCCCGCAGGCCTGTACTGTTACCGCGTCAACCGGCGCCTGTTTCTGGTGCCTTCCGATCCTGGCGCCCCTTGCCGCCTGTGCCGGACACCTCGGGACCAGAAGCGTCCTGAGACTCGGGTGCAGGCAGCGCAGGTCCGGTGAGTGGCCCGAGCAGGTAGGACCCCTCGGGGCAGCCAGAGGGGCGGCAGCGGCTGAGGCGAGGAGCCGAGCCTGAGGCCTGCCAGTCCTGCGGGAGGGCAGGGTGGGCCCCCCAGCCGCCAGGAGGCGCGCGCAGCCGAGCCTCCTCTGTCCACTGCCCCCCCCCCCGCAGGGTGAGCATCCCGCTGTCCGTCCTGGACCCCCCGCACCAGTACCGCATCCACCGGCGGAAGAGCTTCGACGCCTCCGACACACTGGCCCTACCCCGGGTGAGCAGCCGTGTGGGGCTGGGTGGAGCTGGGCTCGGAGTCCAGGTCCCCAGGTGGATCCTGAGGCCCAGAGAGGGCCAGAGACTGGGGCAAGGCCACACAGCGAGGCTGGGCACAAGGAGGGCGAGCACTCAGGTCTGTGGAGTTCAGGCTGGGCCGCTTCCGTCACCTGGCACTGCGCTCGTCCCCTGTTCCTCGCCCACCCCGCGCTTCCAGGGTAAGTGTGTGCCCGCCTGCTGGCGTCACGCACATGCGCCTCATTGGTTGAGCTCTTGGGTGCTGTGTGCGGAGTCCTTAGGAGGATTACCTCATGGAGCCCTCACAGCAGCCAAGACTGTGGGTCCTGTTGCCATCCCACTGTACAGATAAGGAGACTGAGGCCGAGGGAGGTCACTGGTCTCAGGTCAGCAGGTGGAAGAGCAGGGATTTGAACCCAGGTCCTTATGTTTCCTAGTGTCTCCCATGGAAACGTTCTTTGTGTCTCCCGGGTAGGGGGGAGCCTGTGGGGGCTGGGGGAGCTGGGATTATGGGGGAGGAGAAGGGATGCTGAGGAAAGTTGGTGTGCTCATCTGTAAAATGGGTACAGCAAACAGTCCTCAGACTGGTGGGGTGAGTGGGGCACTTCAGTGATCAGTACCTGTCAGGGGCGTGGGGCAGAGTCCGGCACACAGGAAGCGCTCTGTCAGTATCCACAGGCCTCCCTTCTTCTGTCTCAGGCCAGGGGCCCAGGGCCTGGGTCAGCAGGGAAAGGAAGGCCTGGGGTAACCCAGTGGGTGGACACGGGCCCTGCCCTGGGGGAGCCTGTCTCCAGGGGACATCATGACTGTGTGGGGGGACACGGCCCCAGCTAGGGGATGCTGGCAGTCCAAGGGGAGAGGCACAGCGCCCTCCCTGGGGGGTGCCCCATCAGAAGGGAGCCCTGCCACAGGCCAGGCGCCTTAACCCCTCGCTCTCCACAGCACTGCCTGCTGGGCTGGGACATTCTCCCTCCGAAGTCCGAGAAAAGCTCAGCACCCAAGAGCCTGGACCTCTGGTCCTGTGTCTCCTCTGAGACCCAGCACCGGAAGCTGTCAGCTGCCAGTACTTCTCACCTGGTATGGTCCAGGATGCCCCAGGAGGGACAGATGCCTTGGAGCAGGCCTGGTGGGGTGGGGGGCAGATCGGGGCAGGGAGTGCAGGGCCCTAGCCCTCGGCACCCTTCCAGGCTCTTCTGCTCCCTGCCAGCTCCCCACCCCACCCAGGAAGGTCACCCTGACTCTCTGATCCAGAAGGGGATGAGGTGGGAACTGGGGATGACCTTTCAAGTGGCCCCCTCTGACACCTCCCCATTCACCATCCAGGCCCTGCCAACAAGGGTCCCACACTGCACCCCAATCTGGTCGGAACCCCAGCCGTGTGCCCCCTGGCTGAAGCCCTGAGGACTGGCCACTTGGAGGAGGACAGAGCCCCTGCCATCACCTGTAACCGTGTCCCCTGTTAAGGCACCCACGACAAGGGAGGTGGACTGCGGCCCCACCCTCCTAGGTGGGCAGGTGGATGGCCCCAGGCTTTTCTCCTTCCTGGGGACAGAGGTGGGGGCTCCAGGGTTGGGGGGCAGGGGATAAGAGGATTCTGTGACATGTCCGTAAATAAAGCTCAGTACTCTGTGCAGCTCCAGATCACCTTGTGTGCTGGGTCTGTCCTGCTGATGCCCTCAGTGTCCGGGAGGGGGCCCGGCAGCAGCCTCTTCCCCTCACCCAGGGACAGACACGTCTGACAACCTGCATTGGGCCGGGTGATTCCATGGCCCCGGGCGTGGCTCTGCAGCTCCCAACTCTGGGCAGGTGGCCTCCCAGGTCGGGGCTTGGGGCTCAGGGTCTCAGGCAGGCCCCCGTGGATGACGCTGAAGCTGTGGACAGCAGACAGTTCTCCCCTTCTTCTTGGTCCCTAAAGCTGGGGTCCATTGACGGGGGGCTTCTCCTGAAGTCTCTGGGCCGGTGGCTCTTCCCCTGCCCTCTCTAGCCCAGCCCTGGGAGCCCCGGGTGATCAGAGCCCTGGCAGGCACAGACGGGGAAGCCGAGAGCCAGGCGGTGAGCTGAAGGCAAGGTTGGCCGAGGGCCCAGATCTCCCCTCCTGGGTTACCAGCCACTGTCTGTCTTCCTCTTGATGGGTTGAACAGTATGAAATTCCTGGTGTTGTAGGATAAAAATGGAATAAATGGGAGCCCGAAGGCCAGAGGAGGCACATGGTTTTCTGAGGTTTCTCAACTTAGAGGGCTGGAACGAGGGTTATGGTCTCCTGTGGCCTCCACGAGAGCCGTGACGCTGGGGAAGCTTGGTCCGCCTGCTGCGCACGGCTCCCATGTTAGTCAGGGTGGGCGAGGTTCTGCTGCAGTAGCTGATGAACCCCCTGCTCTCAGGGCCCTTCTGTGGGTTCCAGTCTCTCCACATTCACACCAATGCTTATTTTCTGCTTTTTCAATGGTAGCCATCCGAATGGGTGTGAGTTGGTATCTCGTGGTTTTTGGTTTGTATTTCCCTGATGATGATTGATGGAGAACATCTTTTCTTGTGCTCGTAGGCCATTGGTACGTCTTCTTCAGAGAAACGTGTGTTCGAGTCCTCTGTTCATTTTTAAATTGGGCTGTTTTTTTTTTTTATGTTGTTCACGTGTAATTTGAAGTCATTGGGCCTGTGGGAGTCAGTGGTTTTATTAGAAATTCTTTGGCCAGAGGAAAAAGAGAATCTGGAAACCTTTGGCCAAACAAAAATTATGAATTTACAGCTAAGATCAGCTTAGAAGTTCAGCTGACCCAGAAAAGCAACAGTTTGAACAAGACAGATGTTTCCCATAAAAGTCCTGACTGCAGTGTTGGGCCATTAAAGCCTCGGGGTAAGTGGTTTCTCTGGAAACAATTCTTTTGAAAATGTAGGTTTCACCCATTTACTTCCAGTCACTCCTGTCTGCGAGAAACCACACCCATGGTCTCCAGACACTGTGACACCATTGATAGTCAGACTCACTCTTACTTTGTCCGCCACCAGGAAAAATGGGTCTAAACTCTGATGCTCAGGCTGTGAGGTCATGCTAATTTCAGAGATGTTAAAATGTGAAAGAATTTGCATCTTAGAATTAATGAGACACAAAAAGTCTTTTTTTACTAAAAAATTTTATTTTACTATTTTTTAAAGATTTTATTATTTGAGAGACCAGAGGGAGAGAGCACAGAGGGAGAGGGAGCCCCGCGGAGCAGGGAGCCCTATGCGGGGCTCTATCCCAGGACCCTGGGATCATGACCTGAGCCGAAGGCAGACGCTTCACTGACTGAGCCACCCGGGGACCCTGAGACACTTTCTATGTACTGACTTCTGGGTTCTGTGCACCCCCACGGCTGTCTCAGTGGTGGTCTCTGCGGTGGCTTCCTTGGGGCCTTCAGGGGCAATGGGCTGGGGTGGGAAGACTTAACCTGATCTTTGCTGCTGGTCTGCCTGCCAGTGTTTCAGGGAGGCTAAGGAGGACTCGGCCCTGGGCTCCTGTCCAGCCCACGCTGCCTCTCCTGAGCTATTCCGGATGACCGCTTCAATCTGGGGGGAATAGGCTTCTTCAAACCTAAGGGTCCCCAAGAATGAAGGTCACCGACAGAGACCCCCTGGACAGAGTTTCATGTCTCCCAGGCCCCCTTCACTCAGCCTCTCCCCCTGCTGTCCTGCCCTCCCAGGTACCCACGCGCCCTTCTACGTTCTTCGAGGCCCCTCCATCCCCCCTCACTTCGGATTGCCCAGACCTCTTCCTGTCCCCCACCTTCACCCCTTCCAGCTCCCACTTAACCCTCCACATCTCAGCTGCCGTGCCCCTCAGATGCACCCCCCCCCCACACTCTTCCCTTCCCCACACTTGTCCATTCCTGGCCTTACAGCTTATTAAGTGTCGATCATGCGCTTCCTTGCTTCGCGTCTTTCTCCCCTGCTAGAATGTAATAGCTTTGTGAGAGCGGAGGGAGTCTTTTTTTTCTCAGTTGGAATTTTCTTTTCTTGTTTTCTCAAAAGTAGTGGCTAACCTGTATTCAGGATCTGGCATTTTCCTCCCACCTGGCTTCCCACCTGCGTCAAGAAGGTGATAAGAGGAGGCTTTAATTTCCCTGAGCCAAAGGAGGCTTGTGTTGGGGTGCGCACACTGACAGGTCGTACATGTTTCTCCCCACTCCTGCAAATTAATAGTGTTCTTTTTCTTCGTTCCCCCTCCAAGTACGTGGCATAAATCCCAAAGGAAAAAAGCAAGATCACCTACTTCTTCCCAAACTGATGTCGTGTGTTAGTCACTTAGAAATAAGAACAGGGGTGCCTGGTGGGCCCAGTTGGGGGAGCGCATGACTCTTGATCTCAGGGAGGTGAGTTTGAGCCCCACGTTGGGGGTAGAGATTACTTAAATAAATAAACGTAGAAACAAAAAACGGGGTGAGGGTCTGATCTCTTGCCATATCAACGCGTAGACACATGGACCCACGTGGGCCATTCATTCACGCGCATGCTCACTTGTTCACCATGTGTGTGTCAAGCTCCTACTGTGTGCCAGGCACTGTCCCGGGGCTCCGCAGAGTGAGCAGTGATCCAGGTAACAGAGCAGGGGCCTGCCCCCCAGAGCCCCCAGGCAGGAGAAGCCGACACTGCTCCCCTCTCCCGCCCCTCAGAGCAAGCCTCCAGCTCTGCTGAAGTTTTTTTCTGAGTCTTAAACCTGCTGGCTGCCCTTGGCTTCCAGGTTTTGATCCACGCTGCTCCCCCTGCCCAGAGTTCTCTTCCTACTCCAGCCTCAGCTTCCACGTCTGCTCCTCAGAGGCCTGCCCTGCTCCCACAGAACTGGGTTGGGGCCCCTGAGTCTGAGGCCCCCTCTGCTTACCTGCCAGAGCCGCCTCACCCTCCACAGCAAGACGCTTGGGGGCAGGAGCTGGGCTCAGACTCGTCCTCAGCTTTAGTCTAGAGCAGCACGTGGTCTATGGTAGGGGTTCAACAGGTAGGTGGCAGGCGAGTGACTGAGCCCATGAACCCCTAGGTCTTGGGGAGAAGAGGCCACACGGCCCTGGGACCTGAAGAGAGTGCGTCCCAGGAGTTTGGCTCTGGTTGGTCACTGGTTTTCAGTAGGTCATAGTGTCATGCGTCTCCAGCAGATCCTGGGGGTCTGGCCTCCTGAGAGGGGATGTGGGGAGTGAGCCCTCCACCCTGGGAACTTCCTACACCTGTCAGCAGCTGTGGGTCCCAGTCTCTGGTGTGCAGATGGGGAGCGCGCAGAGGAAGGAACGCTAGCTGGCCTCCCAAGGGACCCTTCCAACTTCCTGGATGGCAACTGGGAGATGCTTCTGTTCTTTGGGAATTTGAGCGACCACTCCATTCCTACTTCTCTGTACTCGTGGAGGTGGACCATGCGTGGCCCAGAAGACAGCAAAACGCTGGATTTTCCAGACTTAGTTCCCCACGTGCTATTTGAACTCAGCATTCTGATGTTCTGGGAATTTACAACATTTTGGTGCAAAGTTTCTACAGGGTACCCCAAGTCAGAGATCGGGGTTCAGACCCTCTCCACACTGTTTGGCGGCTTCCTGACCATGACCTTGGGCATGTCACCTAACTCCTGCACCTCAAGGGTGACAGGGATGGTGGGAGGTGGGGAGGCTGACCCAACAGGGCCCTAACTGGTAAGACACGACGCTTCTCATCAGCTGTTCAAGCCCCCTGTCCCATCCCGTCATAAGATCAGTGCTGTCTGGACCGGGCGCAGGGCTGAATTCACGCTTCCTTGCGCACATCTTCCCGGGGAGGAAGAGCTATGGAGTATCGAGTAAATGGGGTTAAAGCCTTGCTCCCTGGCTGTTGCTAAGAGCAGGTGGCAGAGCAGTCCTGTCATTGGGCCCTGCCTACAGCGAGGAGGATGGGTGGCAGAGTCAGCCACAGGACTGCGGGTGACCAGGGCCTTCCCCACAGCCAGAGTCTCAGGTGTGTGAGGGTGGTTGGCTAGGCTGCGCAGGAAGTCGTGAAGAGAAGCCAGCCTCCACGGGACCGTGCTGTGGCCAGTGGGGGTGGCATGAGGTTGGGCTTCACTGACTGGGCGCCCGATGGTGGCTTGGGTGGCTTTTGGGATATCCCCCTGTCGTGGCGCTAGGCTGAGCCCTGACCACAGGGTACTCATTTTCAGGTGCTCTTCGTCTGGCTGGAAGTGGGCCTCTCTCTCCATCCCCAGAAGGCACCAGCAGCCCTCTCTGCCTTCTGGCATGAAAATGGCGGGGGCAGGGGCGGGGTGGGTGGGAATCTAGGGGCTGTAGGTCCCAGATCCCAAGGCGAAGGGACCATTCTCAGCCAGCTAGGGCTGGGGACCCATGGGATCTCAGCTGGGAAAGAAGGGGACAGGAGAGGCTCTAAGAATTTCCCAGATCTCAGGTATGGTATTCGGGGATCTGGCCTGCCCTCGGGGCTGGGGGTATCAGAAAACCCCAGCGCAGAGGGAGACCCCTCTTTCCCACTCCCAACAAATTCTGGCAGCCTTCCCAATCCCCCTTTAGAGTCTGCTGGGGGAGGAAGGAGCAGCTCGAGGGAACACCCTCCCAGATTGGTGGGGTCTGTGCCAACCGAGTGGGCAGAGCACTGGGCCTGGGGTTCAGGGCAAGTCAGTGGGCGCCGGAGCCCCAGCTTCCTCATCTGTAGGGTGGGCATTCTAATGCTGCCTACCTTATGAGGGCATTTTTGAGGACTGAACGAGATGATAAGTTAATGAGATGCGTAGTGGGGCAGCTGGAACTTAATAAGAGCTTACTCCATGTGTCCTGCAATGTCGGGGGGCCTGTCTCTGGAGCGTCTACCCCACTGGGCCTCAAACACAGTAAGGAATGAGGGAGGGAAGGGGATAGTGCTAGGTAATTTCTCTGGTAAATGGTTGGTAAAGGGCCCTGCCTGGCCCCGTGTCCCTGCCAGAGTGGGCCCCCATACTTGCATGCCTGGGAGAGCCAGGTGGGCAGCTGAGAACAACAGGGCTGGGCTGACCCGAAGCCTGGAAACCACTCAGGCCCTTCCAGGAATCCTTGGCTCAGAATTCGGGGTGCGAGGCTGGGTGACACAGAAGAGAGCGGCTGTGGGCATGAGGTGACACAAGCCTCCATCCATCTCCTTCAGCGATAAACCTCTCTCCTGTCTTCCCTTCAGGAACTGTTGTCCAGACCTTTCCTTGGTCTCCCTGGCTGGCCCCACGCACTCCCGGCCCCACCCCCTCCCCAGCTCTGGAAGCCGTCCCTCCCCGGGCCACCTTGTTGGCCTTCATCTCCCCATGTCTCTTGACCAGGGCCAGGTGGGCTCATCGGATCTCCTCGCCTTGCCGGGCTGGGGCCTTCTGAGGGGCCGGGGTCCCTGGGAGCTGCTCATCCCTGTGGGCCCCAGCTTGTCAATACTCTCGGAGGACGTGGTGGCCACCAGCATCAGGAAAAGCCAGGAACACCCCTGGGTCCACAAAGTGGTTTCACTGGTGGCCCCAAAGATGTTTATCTACCCAGAGCCTCAGAATGTGGCCTTATTTGGGGTAAGGGTCTTGACAGATGTAATGAAGGTAAGGCTCACGAGATGAGATCATCCTGGATGAGGGAGGGCCTTAACTCCAGGAGGGGGTGTCCTTGTAAGAGAAAAGAAGGCACACAGACACGTGGAGAGGGGAATGTAACGAGGAGGGGGAGACTGGAGTGACCCGTCTATAAGCTGAGGACCCCAGGATTGCTGGTGGCCCCCAGGAGCTGGGAGAGGGGCCTGGAACAGTCTCCCTCAGAGCCTCCAGAAGGAACCAACCCTGCCGACACCTTGATTTTGGACTTCTGGCCTCCAGAACTGTGAAAGGATCCATCTCAGTTGCTTCAGGTCACCCCATCTGTGGTGACCATGGCTGCCCTGGAAAACTGACAGTTCACGAGGAGCTCGGGGTGAGTGAGGCCCGGCCCTGGGCTGGGTGGGCCCACGTGACGGCCGCTCGCAGGCAAGCTCCCCCGGCCACGGTTCAGTTCTTAGCGTCAGGTTTGATTTTTGTGGGAAAGCAAAAACCTCAGTGTCTCCCCCCACCCCATTCGTATGTTGAAACTGTAACCCCAGCACCTCAGAAGGTAACCGGATTAGGAGATAAGGTCTTTGAAAAGGTGATGAAGTTCTTTATCAGGCACGACTGGTGTCCTTCTGCAAAGGGGAAATTTGGACTCAGGCACACGCTCGGAGGAGAGGCCATGTGAGGACACGGCAAGATGGCCACCTCCACGCCAAGGACAGGACCTCAGAGGGAGCCACCCGCCCCTTGATCTCAGACCTCCGGCCTCCAGCATTCTGAGACAACACACTTCCGCTCTGTAAGCCGCACTGTGTGTGGCGCTTGGTGAGGGCAGCCCTGGCAGACTGACCCCCCACCCCCGCCCCCGTGCACACACGCCCTCCCGCACACTCACACCCCCCCCACTCAGCATTCTCACATGTGCGTGTGTGCGTGCATGCACACACACACACACACACATACACGTGCTGCAGGAGGCCCTGTCATTGTCACTGTGGCCCCAACACTTAGTCATTTAACAACCCACTGGGCTGAGTTGCTTTCATGGAAGCCAAAGCTTGGCTTTTCTTTTGCCGAGAGCTTCTCACTCAATTTCTCTCGGTCTCACTTTTCATTCTGACTGGGAAGGAGTTTTTTTCAGTCTCTCTTTCTCTCTCTCGTGGTTTTGACTGTGCCCCTGGCTGTAGCTCTGACCCCACACCTCGTGGCTTAGCTCTTGCTCATCTGATGTGTCCACTGTGGGGGGGATGGGTCTTGCTTGTCAGCCCTCCCCCCTCCCCCCCCCACCGCAGCTGCCCAGCCATTTGCAAAGTGGAAGGTCGGGGGAGGGGGTGTGGAGGCAGGACATGTGAGGGTGAGAAGTGAGCTCACAGCGGGGCCCTGGGGTTGTGGACAGACCCCAAGGGCATGAGTGTGTCACGCAACCTCCTCAGCTGGGAGTTTCTGTGAGCAGTTTGAGAAGTGTTGGGGCATAGAGAATCCTGACGTGGTAGCAAGAGCCCCTTCAGGAACTTGGGGTCACCAGCTGATCACAGAGCTTTCCCCGGGTGCTGACACCTGCTTGCCCTAGCTGAACCGCCCCTCCCTGAGCCACTGGGCTTGGGGTTCTCCGCCCCATTCCTTCAGACCCGCTCAAGTGCACTTCTGTCACTGCTAACAGATTGACTCTGGGCAAGGCACTCCATGCCCTCATTAACTCAGAGATGCTAAGTATGGGAAGTCTTAGAACAATCCGTGGGAGAAAGCAGCCCCTTCCTGCTTTGAGACTCTTCAGACCCCAAATCTTAGGACTCTCCTCTTCCTTTCCAGATTATTTGGGGCTGGGGGGAGGGGCCGGGGAGAGGGGTTGTTTATCACTGGAATAGCAGAAAATGGTGCCTTTTTTTCTTCTTTCGGATGTGACATCGGACAGTTTGCCTCTCAACTCAATCTCATAGCCGAACATTGGCTATTGTAATGTCTACGTTTCGGGGTATGGGGAAGAATAAATGGGCTCACGTGGGTAAGGACTGTTACAGACGGACTTGTGTTCCCCCCAAAATCCGCATGTTGAGACCCTAACCGCCAATGTGTCTGTATGTGAAGATAGGGCCTCTAGGGAAGTAAGGTTAAATGAGGTCCTTAGTGCCCCAATCCAATAGTGGAACCAGGGGGTCTCATCTGTACTAGATGATCACACATTTGCATATTTAGAATAGATCCCCATCTTTGTAGTAGCTGGGCTATGAATATTCTAGAGCTTCCTGTGCGTCCAGCTCTGCAGGGAGACTTCTCAGCTCCTTTCATCTTTGCAGGGCACTGTGAAGTGGGGGGAGCCAGTCCCAGGGAGGTTAACCAGCTCACTCCAGCTTGCTCAGCTGTGGCAGGGGACGGCTGGGACAGTGGGACAGCAGTGCCATTTGCACCCAGCTTTGTCTGACTTTCCCAAACCTTCTCCTTTTTCTTTTTCTTTTTTTTTTCTTTAACAACACCTGGCTATCTCCAATATTCCATTTTATTAATACAAGGGTTTTTGTTGTTGTTGTTGTTTGTTTTGTTTTTTAATTTGCGGCACAGATCACATGAAAGAGGTTTTCTGTGTGCTATTCATTTTGCTGAGTCCGGAGAAGGTGATAGGGATACAGGTGGTGCAAGGAAAAGCTGCATTGCCCCCTGGGCTCTTGCAGGGCTGAGCTCCCACACAGGGGCCCTGGGGGTTGAGCTCTGCCTGACCTGGTCATTTTGAAATCAGGGGCCCCTCCTGGGAAGGATGCAGGCTGAGGAGAGCTGCAAGGCAGGCTCAAAAATCAGGGCTTGAGATGACTCATCTGTGGCTATTTATTACCTATCTACATTTCTCGGTCTGATTGCGCTGCTCGAGGGCCAAGCCTCCTTCTTTCTGGGTGCTGACTAAGCAACCCAGGGTCCTGCCCACCTCTGGCCTCATCTGGAGCTCACTCTCCTCGCCCTCAGCAATGCACGGGCCCCGTGGGGCCGCTGGAAGTTCCCCCTAACTGCCCTCGCAGAGGTCTTCCCAGCAGCCCCACTCTCTGTGGGTTCCTGTTCTTTCTCCCCACAGTTCTCAGCTTCTATGTCACCTCCTCAGGGAAGCCCTCTCTGGCCACCACGCCCACTCCGTCACGAACTGCTTAGGTGGCCTGTAGAGAGCAAGATGGAGTCACCCATGCCAAGCAGGGGCCTGGGTCAAGCAGTGAAGCTGGCAGTGAAGGGAACGGCAGCTATGAGACCTTGCTGAGACCTGCACTGGCTGAGGACGCCCCAGAACTGATAACCAACAGAAGCAGAGCAGGTCTGCAGGTGCCTGAGACTGACTAAACCCCTTTAAAAAGAGGAAGATGTTTGCAGCAAACTGTCAGACTCTTCAGACACAACCCCTCTCTCTCTGATCGCCTCAACAAGGCAGCTGTACCCAAGGCTCTGCCCGATGGATCTCCGAACAGAACGGAGACCCTTCCCTGCTTGAACATAATTATGAAGCAGTGAGTGTCGAGAGCTGCCCCGGGGCTCGACCGAGGTCTCATCTCAACCCGGCGCCTGCAGACTGACTTCATGTCTAGTTCTTTACCTTCCTATGCCCTCTCTTCTCCTGTTTGCTGTGTGGCTCGTCTTGTGTTCTGCTCGTGTGCCCTGTGAGAAGCCAAGTTAATCGGGAGGTGAAATGTCACTGAGTTTGGAATCCTGGACCTGCTTCCTCATTATGTTACCCCTGTCACTGCTAACAGATTGAATAAATGTTCAATCATAACAGCCTTATGATTGAATAAAACCGACGTCGTGGAAAGACACGGCTCGGGTGCACACCTTCGCCCCATGCTCAGGACACAGTTGGAGTGGACGGCAGGATTCCATGTCATTGACTCATGGTGTGTTGGAAAATTTAGAAGAATCTGAAAAAAATGCCAGGATCTTGCTTGAATTGCCCGCAACAGAACTAAAAATAATAAATTGGGGAACAAATTGATGTGATTAATAGACTTGGCAAGCATCTCACTGAGGGTGAAACCCTTAGGGGTGGGCAGGCGAAGCCAAGGTGGGCTCCACGCAAGGAGCAGTCGACAGCGGAGGCCCGTCCGGGGCTCACCCCTTGGCGTGCTGGGCATGAGGTAGAACTAGCCAAAGTCAAGACCGTGGGAGATTGCCTCGGATAGGCACTTGGAGGGCTAAGAAAAATTAAACCGTTTGGGAACATTGCAAAGATACAAGGCACTACTGGCCAAATCAATCTATTACTTGGCAGAAAGATGCAAAAAAAATTGTGGACAAATCTGTACAAATATCCTAGATATACATGGGAAATAGAGGTCTACCTAGTTAAGAAATTGTATATACCAGCTGCTAGTTTACAAAAAAAGAAGGAAGGGGCGCCTGGGTGGCTCAGTCGTTAAGCGTCTGCCTTCAGCTCGGGTCATGATCCCGGAGTCCTGGGATCGAGCTCCGCATCAGGATCCCCGCTCTGCGGGAAGCCTGCTTCTCCCTCTCCCACTCCCCCTGCTGTGTTCCCACTCTCGCTGTGTCTCTCTCTGTCAAATAAATAAATAAAATCTTTAAAAAAAAAAACAAAAACAAAAAAGGAAGGAAGATGTGGGCACGAGCTAAATGCCTAAGGATGGTGAAGAGGGTCAAGAGGCCTGACACCATACTTTGTGTAGAAGACCCATGTCACCCCACAGAGTTAGAAGTCAGAAAGAAGCTCACAACCAGGACCCCAGGAGATGTAATCATGGATCTGAAGGATCCTAAAAATGCAAAGCCCTTATTGTCCCAGGCGTGCACTGCGGAGGTTCCTATCTTATTGATGAAAACCATCTCGCACTTAGACCAAGACTGGCAGAGGGGCAAAGAGCTAGCTAGTAGAGTCATAAGGAAGGCCAAGTCAATGAATAATTTAATGAATTATTGAATAATTGAATAATTAATGAATAATGAATAATTTATAAGTTTAAAGGGCAAAACACCCTTGGGACCCCAGATCCCCATCCTGACGACCCAGGAGA